TACAGCCAGCAACCCTTCCTCAAATCCAAAAAGATGCCAAGACTTTGGACTGATTTCTTCTTAAATCATACATAAACACACAATTCAGAAAATTTACATTATCAATTATGATTGAGAATGATTTGATTCAGAATTTGTGTTCTGTTTTTTTTTTTCTTTTTTTTGTCAAAATAATTTGATTATTTTAGAGAAAAGGAAAAATAAAGTCAAATTTATTTTTGGAAAGGGAAAAATATGAAGTAGAATGAGAGTTGCAGCGGCTAGGGTTAAAAGAAGTAAAAAAGGGTAGCTTTGGAAAGAAAAATAAATTATTTTTAAAATGATGGGTAATTATGTCAATTTATAATTTTAGATGTGGCATTATCAAAATAGGGTGTGGCAATAACCCCACCCGTCACTCGTATATAAAAGTCCATTTCTCCTCCACGTGGCACAATCAGGTCGGTGGTGGACTAAATCAACGGCAGAAGGGAACAGGAGTAAAAATTAAAATTACTAAACAACCCGTCTTTCTTCACATCATTTTGGAATTCCATTATCTTCCAAATCCAAACACTGCCTGCCAGCCACCATCGCTCCTAAGTCAAAAGAAACAAATCAAACTTCTTCTCCTTTCTCACTGAAGTCACGGAACCTTCACATCCATGGCGGGAATCCGATTAGCACCGGAAGAATCGTCCGACCTGATTCAGCACCAGCATCTGCAGCTGCTGCAACAGCAGCAGCAACAGCAACTGCACGGTGGTCGAGAAGTCGGATCGGACGACGAGCGGTCGGTGGCAGCGGACTCGTGGTCAATAAAGAGCGAGTATGGAAGCACTCTCGACGATGACCAGCGTCACGCGGATGCCGCTGAGGCTCTTTCCTCCGCCGCTAACTTCCGCGCGGCCTCTGACTACAGGTTTATGTTTATTTTAACTCCGAGAAAGCGCTGGAAAAGTAGTGATTGTTTCTAGGGGTTTTGAACTTTCAGAAAAGTGAAATAGGAGCTCAATTTAGCTGATTGGATCAGTTACTAAAGTTTAATTTTTACTATTTTGATGATTTTGAGAATTCAATCTTAAATTTGATCTATTGGAAATTGAATGTAGGTTTAGATGGATACAGCTCAAGGATTAATTGTTGAAATGGGCAATTTTAGGAACCTCATTGCTCCATAAAATGGTAGCTGAATGGTAGAAGAAAGGCCACTGTGAAACTCTTCAGTAGAATGATTAAAACATTTCAACATCTTGTCATATATGTTATTCATTTCTTGTTTTATTAACTTAATTCTCTGATTCTGGATTATGCAAACATGAAATGTTGGGGACTTGGTTGCTTGACCTCCTCTCTCTCTTTCTCTCTTCCCCTCTGTGTGTGTGTGTGTGCGCACGCTTGTTTAATGTTAATTGTATTATAGTATATTTGTTTAGGTATATGCTCCATTTTGAAAGTGATTTGGTTGGATTTCTATTCTCCTGGATTAATAATTGATAATTGGCTTGTTGTTAGGAGAAGCGGATATGTTGTGATTTTATAATTGCTTGTCTGTTTGACTTGAATTTCATTTCAGATTGAGTGTGGGCAAGCACACAAGATTTTTATGCTATGGTGTTTACACTTGTTTGGCTGTGCAGCTCTGACAAGGATGATTCAGACACTGAAGCGACCATGTCAATGCTTGGCCTTCAGAGTTATTGGGATGCTGCATATGCAGATGAGCTGGCTAATTTTCGTGAACATGGGCACACTGGTGAAATTTGGTAAGCGCTACTTAGAGTCTTAGACTGCTATGTTGCTGGTGTATTGTTAAAGGTTTTGCCTGCCATTCAGCCTTTTGGTATGATACTGCATACCAATTAATGATTGAAAATCCTGCCTTTAGAAAAGGAATGAGACGATGGAGAACTAGACTTTAGGGCTTTCCATCAATACTAAGTCACTAGATCGTTATGCTATATTTATCTATTTACTTGTTTTGCCTCTTCCTAAATAGGTTTGGAGCTGATGTCATGGATGTTGTTGTTTCTTGGACCAAAAGCTTGTGTATTGAAATTTCTCAAGGTCATTTGCCAAATCATGTTGATGAGACAAAGCCTGAGCCTGTTGGACAAGATGATAAATATTTGTCAAATTGGAGTGTACTTGACATTGGCACTGGCAATGGCTTGCTTCTTCAGGAACTTGCTAAGCAGGGGTACACTTTGAGATTTTGCCTATAGTTCTGGTATTATGTGCGATATTATCATATTAATAATTTTAGATGGAAAAAGAAAGAGTAGTTTGTTGTATCTCTTTTTGAAATATATGTCGGCTTGCATCAGTTGGTTCTCTCTTCTTAATTTTATGGCACTGTAATACATATGCTGTGTGTGATCAAAAGATTCTTGTGTTTTCGGACTAAGAGAAGTGATATTAGATTTACATAGATGATATATTGAGATTTTGATTTATAGATGGAACACTTGTCTCTGAAAAAAAAAAAAAATTGCATTAACTGTTACAGCTCACTCGTTAGATTTTTGAAGATAAATGTTGAAATATGTTATTGGCTAGGTTTTGGAATAGATAAGCTATTAAGGTTTTTAGACAAGTTTGAAGCTTTATTGGTCAGTAACCCCTATTGGAAGTACTGTTCTGTACTGCAAAAGAAGAGGTTATTAGACAGAAGCAAACTTCAATATTGTGGTATTTCTTACTAAATCATGAATTAGGAAAAGAAAGTGAATTAGCCCTCAGTCTATGAATGAATCATTGGAACAGCCCAATCTCAAGTTTAACATTCTACTTGGTACAGTTTGCCATGTCAGGCGTAATTCTCATTCCTTTGCATGGATTGATGAGAAAACCTTACTTCCTTATATGCTGAAGTCTTGTCCATATTGTCTTGTATAATATTCATTTCTAGAAATTTTTTATCATTGTACCTAGGGATTCAGTTCACATAGAAGCTATAAATGTTCAAAGTGAGATTAACTGAGGAGGGCATGGAAAAGGAAGGGTGGAATTATTTGATCATTTTTTGCCATATCTATATGTATCCTTTTCTTGAGAGGAAATGCGTATTTGTTTCAGCGTTGGTTAGATATATTTTTATCAGGGATAAGGAGTAATGTGATTGAATATTTGTGGAGCTATGTTATAAACATATTTTTAGAAAAAAAATTAACTGAATAATATTTCTTTTTCATTACCGTTCTTTACTAGAATTTATAATGAATGATTGAGCAATTTGTAATCTTGATTCAGGTACTCAGATTTAACTGGAACTGATTACAGTGAAGGGGCAATTGATCTTGCTCAGAGCCTTGCTGATCGTGATGGATTTTCCAGTATTAAATTTTTGGTATGAACATAACTTAGAAAATGCTAACTTAAAGTAATTATAAATGAACAAAACTTTGAGAATGCTAACTTGAAGTAATTATAACTGGTTTACTTATAAATCTGTGCCGAATTTAATATATTTTATCCTGCATCATTATGAGTTTAGTGTTTTCCTTTTCGTGATTGCCTACCATGTCGGATGGGTTCATGAGTTGTCTTTGGTTATATTTAGTAATGACTTGGATGCTTGTGTTCAATATGTCTTAGGCTTTTGAATTATGTCTTTTTGTTCAAAACATTGGTGAAACATGCTTTTAAGTTTAAAAAACGGTGTATAATCAAGGAGAAAAAAGGGCTGCTTGTTGAAACTCTCTGAGTCTTGAAAGGCCCTAAGAAGCCAGAATTTGATGTCCAGCAGAAGTTGGGTTTGGCTAAAGGAATCCAAACAGAAAAATGAAGATCCATGTTGTGAGAAATGGAGAGATGCAGTCAAAACTTTGATGAACTCAAAGATTATCTAGTAGCTGACAACTGACAACCAAGATAAGTGAGTGTCACTGGATCAGAGTCTCTAGGGGAACAGGTTTTAGCCCTCTATTTAGAAAACAGCATGACCTGCACAAATGGGGCAACCTGCCTCTAAAGTCTAAATTTAAAACTTCAATCATATGTATAATGATTGTTAACAACTTGTTGAGTATATTGTTTTTTTATTTGTAAAGTATATTGTTATAGATGATCTACCTTAAACTAGTCCATCTCGGTAGGTTTTTTGGTTTTGGCCATCAGTCCATCTCAGTAGTTGTTTCCTATATATTTCTTGTTATCACCTGATTATTTTGGACAACATTGTGGAAATAACCATTTTCATTTGTTTTAGGTTGACGATATTCTTGAGACAAAGTTGGAAAGACAGTTTCAACTTGTCATTGATAAAGGGACTCTAGATGCCATTGGATTGCACCCTGATGGCACTGTCAAAAGGTAACACTAAGATCATCTTCATTGCTGATATACTCTAGTTATTCTACCTGTGTTTGTTCATGGAATCCCATCAACTGAATACCAATATGAAATTTTCGGTCCTTCCAGTTGAGTTTCATATATCTAAATGCGTATTTACTTATAAAAGTACTTTATCCAGTTTAGGGGTTTAGGTTGCTAGTTAACTGAAATTCGTTTCAAGTTTCATTCAGTAACCTTGGAAAACACTCCAAAATCCCGTTGACTTTGTCTTTTTCAGGATCATGTATTGGGATTCAGTTGCAAAGTTGGTGGCTTCGGGTGGACTATTAGTAAGAATCCCACGGCTTCTCTTTTTTTCATTTTTTTCATTTTTTCCTTTTAAGAGTTAAGGATAAATGTGTAATGATCAGACTCAGATGGTGCAAAGTAAGATGTCTTATACCATAAACAGGTGTAAACTTTCTAATTTTGCACCATCATAAGCTAGTCCTAACCCCATATATAAACATCCTAGAAAAAAACCCTCATCTTTTTCTGTGTTTTTCAATTCTTATAGGTTATCACATCATGCAATAATACAAAGGATGAACTGGTGCAAGAAGCTGAAAATTTCAATCTGAGATGGATTGAAATGGCTGAGGATCCCAACACACCCAAAGACCAAAAAACCAGCAGGGATCCTCCATTTCAGTATCTTAATCACGTTCGGACGTATCCAACATTCGTGTTTGGTGGATCTGTGGGATCACGTGTTGCTACCGTTGCTTTTCTCCGGAGTTGAAAAATCACTCTGTTCTCTACCGTGGTAGATTATTCTTGGGGTTAGTGTGGTTTACAAGGGGATCGTGTGATTCGTGATATAGTAGTTGACATGTTTAAAAGTTAGTTTGGAGATTCTACCTTTGATGTTTAATTGTGTTATTGTGAACGAAAAATTTTAAGGAGATTATCTGAGTAAGACTTTTTTTGTTTTTTGTTTTTTGTTTTTTTTTTTTTAAAATAAGATAGATACTGGGGTCATTTTAAGATTGGTGTTTTGGCCAATTTCTCGTTGGCAACAACATCTCGGATTTGGAGCACATAAGTAGTGCTAGTAGCATCGAAGAGATTAAAGTTCTTTCTATAAAGAGTGTGGATGCCGATGTCTTTGAGAGTAGTTTGGTCAAATCCTAGGCCTCGGAGACAAAATAGATGTCGTGCATTCCGGTAACGTAGGAATTTAAAGATAGGGTAAGGTAATTGAGTCATTTATAAGATACATTTATCAGAAAAATATTTAAATTTAATGACTCAAATGTGACATTGGAAAGTGTTACAACTCTTTATATATATATATATATTAATTTGTTAAAGATATTTTATTTATTATTTATGATATTTTTATGGTCAAATATAATAATTTAATAATTAGCATTACGAGGACTTATATATAATTTTTTTATTAAGTATTTAAATTTTCTCTTGTATATTAATAACATAATAAAAAAACAAAATAAACCATTAAATAAACAAAAAGTCGGACTATAGAAATTTGAATTCTATATATGTAATTTTATAAAACTTGTGAAATATAGATTGTATTCTGGGGAGGCTATATGGTTTTTTCTTTTTTTCCTGAACATAGGAACATTTTAGATCTAGCGGGGAGGTGGGGTGTTTTTTTGCAAGCACAAGGTGGGAGTTGAACTCCAACCTTGTGGCCTCCAATCCATAGAGGTAGGACGGTGAACTAGCTAGCGTTATTAGCATTTACTTTTGGAGAGAGGTTTAAAAATCATTGACTCATATGAACTAAAATAGAAACAAGGAAAAGCAAAGCTGTCCCACTAAGAAAGGTGAAGCCAAGAGTCCCCAAAATCACCCTCACCAGCTCAAACAACTCCAACATCTGAGCATCTCTTTTGAGTTTATAGTTGTACCCAGATGCATAATTCCAGCCATATTCGCGTCTGTAGCATCTCTCTAGCTTCTCCTTCCCCTTAGCCTTCTCCAACCTCTCCCTCAGAACGCTCAAATTCTCATCAACAAGCTTGCTTGATCTTCCCGGAGCTAGTGCATGCATAACAAGATATATCCAAATACTAAGCATGAATAAATCAAGAGAGATCAAACTAGGCATTGAATTATCAAGAAACATATCAAAAGAAGAAAAAGAAAAAAAATCAAGATGGTACTTACCTTCATCTCTATTGCTTTGAGCTCGGATTTGGGATGCTTGATGTGGAGTAATTCTAAACTTGAAAGATTGCCTGAATATTGCAACAGGACAGGAGGAAGATAGAGAGGAAGCCATGATCATGATTTTCTGGTATAGTTTCTTCGTATTTGTTCTCGACTAAATATAAATGCAAAGAGAGAGAAGGATATTGTGATTTTGAACAGCTTACTGCTCACCCCTTACCTGATATTCATATTTTATGAGCTAATGTCAAGCTGGAGAAAGAAAGACGGAATATTTCATGCCTTATCTGATGAAAGTAAATCATTGAAAACAGGTATACAGGTGCCAAATACACAGGAAATTAATGAGATTGGAATAGTGTATTTCTCTCCGAAAATATTATATAAATCCTCTTGGGTGACTATGAGTAACATAAAACAGTGATGTGAGGAAAAGTAATTTGATTGCTACTTTAATTTTAATTGCACTGGGTCAAATATGCCAGCATCGTTAAAGAAATGAGGTTTTAGTACCTATGTTTTTGGAATAAGGGTAACCCAACCTGCCAGCCTAAATAGATAATACTAGAGGTATTAGTATTATACTTATAAAATATATAAAAGTGAAAAATTGTAATCTAATATTTACATGAATATCGTAGTCAAAACTAAGTTTTAGATTCAACAGTTAAATAATATTTTAGTATAATTCATTTAGACAAAAGATAAATTGATTTGGGTAAAAAAATTTAGTTAAGGACATTATCTCCAATCATACTTTTAACAGTCGAAACAAATATAACAATTAATTTGAATTTAACTAATATCACATTTAAGTTACCATTTTCTTTTGACAAAAACGAATTTTGATAAAAAAAAATATCAAGAAAACCAATGTAGAAACCCTTAAAAAAGAGGAAGTAACCTTTCAAAGAGGGAAAAACCCTCATAAGAGAGGAGAGAACTCCCACCTTAAGCCATTCACCCTAACTACCAAGGGAGAGAGAGACAGCGATGGTAAAGGAGAAGAAAAAAACAAGAGAAAAAAGAGAAAATCAGGGTTAGAGAAGAAGTTAGGGGGCAAACCTATAAATGACTATTAAGCATATTAATTTGGATGCCACCAACTCTTTAATTGTAAGATAATTATTAGTTAACTACCCATCCATAGAGGATGGTCCGATGCCACCACCTCTTGGATGAAGATTTGGAAATAACCAAGGTTTTTAAAATTGGACTGGTTATTGAACCATTTTCGGGTTTGGTTTTTGGTTTGATCGGTTCAATCGGTTGAACCGGTGAACTGGTCAGTTCAAATAACAAGAGAAATTTGATGAGATGGATAGGTAATTTTGTAATTTTATTAAAATTAAGGATTAAAATCGGTATAAAAAAGGAATGATCAGGGTGAAATTGGAAAAAAAAAATTGCATAAGAAATTGAACCGGTAGTTTTTTCGGTTCTATTGGTTTCACCGGTTTCACTGGTTTTGAACGGTTTTGACAAATTTTGAACGGTTTTTGACCGATTTTGACATCAAATGATTTTTTTATGTGAACCGAGCCATTTTTATTATCAGGTACCGGTCTGACCAGTTCAACCAACCGGTCCGATCTAGTTTTAAAAACCTTGGAAATAACTAACATGGTTAGTAGTATCATAATGGTATTTCTTTTGATTAAGAATTGCAGGATCAACCAAAGAATAAACTGGGCCTAAGGTCATGAGAATGATGGAGCTATAACTAGAGGTGAAAATGGATATCTATCAATAAGTAGTATTTAAAGAAGATTACATATATATATATATATGGTAATTAAAATGCTATGATTAACAATGAAAATATTAAAATATCTTTAATAAATCAATGTGCAAGAAAGATTTGTTAAGAATATTTAAATAATACTTTAACAAGATATCTTAATCTTCATTTTTCTCATTTGTTTGAAAGAGACAATTATTTTTACTAAAGGGAAAGGCGACAGGGAAGGAGAAAGGATTGACTCGGGTTCAAACACCAACCTAACCAGGTGTCTCCTATGTGCAGCAGGTGACAAAGGCCAAGCGTGGGGAATGTAAAGAGAGATTTCACTCCACAATCTCATATGTTCTCTTTCTGTGCCTTTAAAATCATTGAAGCGATGAATCCTTTGGTAAATTCCAAATAAGGTACCTAAACACAGTTAAATGTGACGTCTTTTCAGTAAGGCTGGGATATACATAACAGTAACGCATCTGTAGCTTGTTGTGGTCATGGCTTCTTTGAAGAAGGTTTATATCAGGAGATAGTTACGAGTCAAGTGAAATTGGAGGGTTTGGCAAGCATATTGATGGAATTCAACCAGCTTCAGACCTTCCTTACCAATTTTTTAGGAAACATTTTCTGAATTGTGATGCATTAATTGGTATTGTAATGTTCCATTTTCGAATTCGTTGGATCTTAGAAAAATAATTAATCATTTGAAATATATAATCATATATTATAAAGTTCACTAGATAGTTTGTCATATTCAAAAACCAAAAAAAATAAAAAAATAAAAAATTTCACGTTTGTATAACTTATTATTAGAAGAACTAAAAAATAAAATACCTATCCGAAAATTATCCATGCATAAAAATTGAAACAAAAAATTGTTATAAAAGACATTCAAATTAAATAACTTAGATATTGTACCATATACAGCACATTCACCATATAAATTTCTTTCTTTTTTCCAAGGGCAAATATATCAGTCAGGTGTTTAGCATTTGATAGAATGAAAAACAGAATAAACCTTTCAATAAACAGAGAGTATATAGATAATGTTAAAATTGAATCATATATCTGTAACTTCATATATAAAGTTTGTGAAATAGAGGTTTTATTTTGGGGTGGCAATATGCCATTGATATTGGTGAGAGGTTCAAATTAAAATCATTGATTCAAATGAACTAAAATATAAACAAGGAAAAGCAAAGTTGTCCCACTACGGAAGATGAAGCCAAGAGTCCCCAAAATCAGCCTCACCAGCTCAAACAACTCCAACATCTGAGCTTCTCTTTTGAGTTCATAGTTATATCCAGCTGCATAATTCCACTCCTTCACCTTAACCTTCTGATCTATCCTCTCCCTGCTCAAATTTGCATCAACAATTTTGCTTGATCTCCCAGCAGCTAGTGCATGCACAAGAAGATATATCCAAATGCTAAGCATAAATAATCAAGAGCTTGAACTAAGAGCACTGATTTATCAAGAAATATATCAGAAGAAACAGAAATGAATTTTTAGGTAGTACTTATACCTTCAACTCTATAGCTTTGAGCTCGGATTTGTGATGGTTGAAGAGGAATACTTCTAAACTTGAAATTTGGTCTGAATATTGCAACAGGAGAGGAAGGAGATAGAGAAGAAGCCATGATCATGATTTAATTTCCTGCTAAAATTCCTTCGTTTTCAACTCTAAATATAAATGCAAGCAGAGAAGGCTATATATATTGTGATTTTTTAACAGCTTTCCTTAATATCTAGACATATTTTATGGGAGCTTGTGGTGGTCATGGCTTCCTTGAAGAAGCCTTGTATCAGGACCATAGTTAGGAGACAGCGAAATCGGAGGGTTTTTGGCAATCATAGACCTGGACTGCAACCAGCTTCTGACCTTCCCTGCCAATTTATTAGGTAACATATTGTGTGGATCGCGATGCATTAGTTAAGGATATCCAGAGGTTGTGGCAATAACTAATTACACACTATATTGTTATAAGATCACATAAAATCTAATATTTTTTTTAAATAGTTAATTATAGTATTGAAAATATTAATATATATTGATTTTAATATATTAAATAAAAAATATTAATTATTTTATCATCTATCAACAAAAAATTACAGTAATTAGTTATTTTTAACGATTAAATTAAATAAAATCAATTTTTTAAAATGTAATATTTAAAAATTTATATAGTCATAATATTTTTATGTGTGGCCATAGTTTTGTCCATATAGACACATTTAGGTATTATGATGTTTCATATTGGAATTCATGGGATGCAAGAAAATAAATTTAATCATCTCAAATTTATAATCATATATGCTATATAATAAAATCTTCTAAATTATAGTAAATTACATCCAAAAGCAAAATAATTATATAACTTATCATCAGATATAGTAGAAATAAAATACTTACCATAACATCATCCATATATACATAAAAATTGAAACAAAAATTAAGTTATATAGTCAAGCCAACCAAATGAACATATATGATAAATCAATCAGCGATCTTTGAGCTCTTTATTTCCACCATAAAGGCTGCAATGTATCTGCAATCTCTCATCTTCAACCCAGCATTTTTCAATGACATTCATGTCCTGACCAGGAAACCTCATGAACTAACAAAATTATATATGCGTTGTCCTTATGTTTGGACAGTGCTCATTATGATGTTTCAAGTCTTCAAACAATCTAGCATGCATGAATTTTATTATTTTTTCCCCCCAAAATACAGTTGTGTGTGTTTGGGCTTTCTTTTATGTTGTTGGGGCCTTTCTGTTTTAATAATTTTTGTTTAGCATGGTCCAAAAAGGAAAATCATTTCCATTTAGAGCCATTAGATCCTAACATCTAGCCTCTTAATATTTTGATTTATCATAGTAAGGAATAATATTAATTGCAATGTGATTTATATTCATTTTCATCCCATATATATTCCTTCACAATCTGGTTAGTAGTATTTTGATATGTCCCAATATGGCCACCAAAAGGGCGTGAATTGGGTGTTAATTTTTTTTTTTCCAAGTTCTTGTAAAAGTTACCAATTTTAATCAACTTCTACAATTTTTTTTTCTCTCAATTTGTAAGTATACAATGCACAATCAAGACATAAATCCCAACAAAGTAAGAGAATAAAGAAAAGGAAAATTACATGTAGCAATTTATAGTAGTTCGGCTATGATCCAAAAACTCAAATAATTTAAAATCACAAAAGAAAAGAAAATTTCAATGTGGTGATTTATAGTAGTTCAGCTGTGATCCAAAACTCTTAACAATTTAAAATTACAATTTTTGAAATGGGTATCAGCCTTTGGGGAACTGCCCCATTTCATTAAAGGGGACTTATCTAAAATTTTATAAGATAGGCTGAAAGCAGGCCAGTTTTTCTTTTATTTGAAATACAACCACATAATGTACAAATTACATCAATAGAAGAAAATCGAAACAAACTATAGACTGTAAACCGGTCAAGGCAAGAATCGAGCTTACATTCTCTAGCTGATAAGGCCTGGGCCTTTGGCCATGTTTAATTCTGATTAATTATTTAAATAAGTTGTACAATAATGTTTAAGAGTTAACTATTTTGTAGTTTAAATTAGTCTAAATTACAAAATAAAACCTATTAAATGAGGGACAATTCTCAATATTAGAAGGTTCATATTTGTCCAATAAATATTGTGCAATGCATATTATGTAACATTTGTTTGAATGTTTAACTAAGTGACATTTTGG